TGATTCCAAAACAGCCTAAAACAGGTAAAAAATGCGCTAAAGCGTGTGAGATGCCAGGTTGCGTTGTGGAAACAAGGACGACCCACCAGTAGTGGTCGGAGCGTTCACTGAATGGGCGGAGTTCGATAAAAAAAAACTCATGTCTCGATTGTGGGAGAGCCTACAATGTAGAACAATCATGCGTAGAGGAGTCTCAGGTATGTGGGCGGAGATTCCTCAAGTGGGTGGCGTTTTCTACGAATCTACTTGCTCCTCTTTTTCACGTAGTTCGGTCACGGTACTGTCGGGAGATCGGAAAAACGGATGGAGGTTGACCGAGGAAGGAAGGCCAGTCGCCATTGATGGGCGGAGCGTTTACCGAAGTGGGCGGAGCCTGCTGCGAAACGTTATAAATTGCCTTGAAAACTGCTTGAAAGCCGAAAAAAAAACAAATAGAGGCTGGCGAGGGAGGTGCACTCGAGTTCTCAGTGAGGGCCAAGTGTGGGCGACACGTAAGTGTACCGAGCAAACTCAATACAACATATTAATGCAGCAGTGACCTCGTTGATCGTCTCGTCATAGTCAAACCCGCTGTTAGGCCATTGTGCTCGTGCTAGGCAAGGGCTACCTTCAAAAACAGTTCATCAGGGCACATTACGAAATGCCGTGCATAGAACATTCCATTGATATTACATCCAAACGTCTGACACTGCCCGGCTTTGGGACTTTTCATTTCATCGCTCGCAAATATTACTGATAGAATCCAATTGTCACCACTAGCAATTTTTACTGATGGAACAATGGCGAAGAAGACAAGTAGAGCTACTGTAGTGTTCTGAACAGCACGTATTTGTCTCTATAAAAGCCGAGTGATCTGGACCAAAATCTGCCAACCTGTTTTTCTTCTTTTTGTACAAAAGGTCCGATAGGTACAGATCACCCCTCATAATGTCAACTATGTCAACACTCACAGAACCCCAGCTCTACTGGAAATCATGTGCCAAAAGCTGCTCTGAGCAGTAAACCTAGAAAATATGGAGCTGAATGTGCGTGGAATGAAATGTCATATCCCCACCCTGCTCCATCTTAGATCCTGCATTGGAATAGTGGCAGCTAATCGTTCCGCGGACGCACTTGTCTCGAAATAGAACGAACCAGAAGTTAACCCAATTTTTCTGGTTATGCTAACAGACCAATTCCACTCAATTTCTCCAAAATTTATCTGGAGAACGCACAGGCGGATCTCCAAAATGTGCGGACCGGCAATTCATAGCAAAGGGTTGTCCCCGGCGATCTAGCATGACCATAAGCGCGCCGCTAGTGCCGCGGCACGTCCATCCTCTCGCTGTCTGACTCTAGCCATTTAGCAGAGAGAGCGTTAGCGTTGAAGAGGGCAGCACGATGAGAGTCGCATCAATGCGGAAATCAACGGGCAAGGAAGGGTCCCATTTTCGGGTTCTGGCCATTTCTCATGTTTTTTCTTCATCCCTGGACCACTGACCACCTCTACCTTGATTTCCAATGAGCTGACTTTTTATCAAAAGCTCCGCCATTAGTCGCGGAGATCGAAAAGCCTTTCACTTCCTGACTCATGAATGCTCAGGGTTCTTTCATAGTTATTTTTGACGCTCTACAATAATGCATGAATATCTACAATAATGCATGAATAATCTCCCTTGTGCGCAATCCGGTATTTCTAGAGAAAAACATCACTTTCAGACAGCCACAATGAACAACCTCCTGTTAGCCATTTTTTCAGCATCTCTATGTGTTAACGCGCTTTTGCGGTGAGTTCAAGTGCTATTGATTATCAGCAAGCACTATGTTTTTGAGTCTGGAAATTGTTAGACTTCTCCAAATTTCATGATTTAGTATACCAATGCGTAAAATGACACGCTCTATCAATGATGGAAATACGCTTGCTTCTCTGCTGAAGCAGAAGTACAAAAGAGAAGCCGAGTTCAGCTCAAAAACTTTCTTCAGTGAACAACTTACGCTCTCACCGAGCATGGTGAGATGAGCATAATCAGACGACTAGGTCCGTAATTTTCTTTAAACGGTTCTTGTTTAGATGGCCTATTACGGGCCTATACAAATTGGAACCCCTCCTCAATCATTCCTGGTGCAGTTTGACACTGGCTCACCAATTCTGTGGGTCCCGTGCAAGGGATGCGGAGATGCTTGTAAAAGTCATCGCAAGGTGAAATGACACTCCTAAAGTAGCAATCTTGCATTCTCAGTAATTCCGATTTTAGTTCGACTGCCAAAAATCGAGCACCTGCGTGACAACGACAGAGTGGTTCGACCTCAACGGAGGCGGTTCCGTTTCTGGATCAGTCGACCGCGATGTTGTTTGTGTGAGTGTATTTTCGCTCACGGATGGAAATTCAAGCCGAAGATTTGCTCTTACAGTTCGGATGCGGGAGCACCTACTGCACTAACAAAACTCAAGCGTTTGGCTGCGCCGTATTAGGTGACAGAAGCCGCTTCGCAGTGAGTTGAGAACGAAGTCGTGGGAAGATGACAAAACGAGATGTTACACTTACTTTCCAGAACTACCCATTTGATGGGATTCTCGGTATGGCATGGTCGTCAAAGGCACTGGCGACGCCTGTGAATCAGATACTTGAGAATAAGGTCATTTTGATTGATGCATCACAAAGAAAACAAAAAGAGCCACGGGCGGTACGCGGGTTCACTGCCCTAACGGGAGAGGCTTACTCGAAAGGAGGCCTGTCGATGTGGCTTAGTACACTGGTGTGCAAAACTTAAGGGACCGAAGTAACTTTCACATGATATCTCACTGCTAGTTAACCTAGGTGGACCAAATTTGGCACATATATAGAAGTAAATGTTGCGGTACAGTGCAGAGAGTTACTAACAGAAAAGCGCAAACGGGACGATTGGAAAAGACATTTTTCTTCAAATACCCTGTCTGAAGCGGTCGATGGGTGAGGCTACTCCAACTCATGGTAGACATTCAAAAGAGAGGAGCTGGTTCTTGATGGGGTGTATGAACACTACGGACTGCAAAGCATGCTCTGCCACGTGCTCCAATACTGGCCACAAGGTTGGTTAAGAGTTCTTGTGGAGAAGCGATCCATTCCTTGAAGACCGCGATTGACAACTGCTGGACAGCTGTTGGCTAGTAGCTCTCCTGAATGCACGCCACACGTGCTCCATAGATTTGACTGGGGAAGCGGGCAGGCTTCCACCAATCGCCGAAAATCCTCGCTTTCCAAGAGTTTTCCACCTAGGCTGCTCGATGCTCTCGCACCTTGCCCTCCATACGATTGAAGTTGAGGTCAAAGGCACCCTTGGAAAGATGCACATAAGTGAGGAGTACAGCGTCACAATAACGTTCGATCAGAAAGCATTCCGCGATCAGGAGTTGGGAGGTCAGTACGCCCTTGCAACTTTATGCCTCCCCACACCATATCGAATGGACTATCAAAACAATCATGTTGAACGATGGTCCTGGGTGCATTACGTGATCCTATTCTCGCCATATGCGGGTAGTCCAAAATCACTACTATTAGGTTGTCTCATAAATAGTGTCGCTTTTTTTCAACCAAAAAATTTTCATCTAAATCCCATGCTTTTACATCGTATACCATTCGAAAGAGAATTGTCTGCTCTACAAAATGTTCCACTTCCACCTCTGTTTCAGGATTTTCAAATTTTAGGCCTGCAAAATGGGAGGTCTAGTTTGAAGTTTGAAGGGTAGGGTAAGTTAACTTGGAATGGGTTGCTTTTCCATCGTCAATTCCGTCTCTAATCAGGCTTACGTAAACAGTACTACACGGCCTGCCGTAGTGTTTGTATGCATCTGAGTGGATTTCATGAGAAGTGGGGAAGCTTCAAATGAAGAGTATAAACGTTTTCTATTTGATCGACTCTGGTTGGAATGTCGGGTCAAGGTAAAAGGAAACAAAGCTGGCTCTTGGAAGTTCTAAAATACCTCTAATGGTTTTTATACTCATTGCTGTAGGCCCTGTGCACAGAACCCGTCTTCGCTTTCTACATGACTCCGGAGAGCAACAGTAATGGATATGCCGGAGAACTCACCCTCTGTGGAACAGATCCAGCGCGCTACAAGGTGAAACTGTCAGTTACTTCAGCTGCTAAACACGAATATAATAATTGATCGAAGGGTTCAATTGCCTGGAGTCCTGTGGTCACTGAAAGCTATTGGATAATCAACGCAAGTCAGGTATATGTGGGAAGAATGCCGATAATCAATGGAACAGCACAGGTTGCCGTTGACACCGGCAGCGGTGTGATTACTGGACCACGTGATGCTATCCAGAAGGTGACTGAGAACTGATGTAAAATAGAGATTCTGCTCATGATCGTTCGCTTTTGAGATTGTACAACTGACTGGCGCAACTTCTGAACACAACGGCGCAATTTATTCGGTCGATTGTAAAAATATCACGCAGCTCCCACCAATCACATTCAATATTGCTTGTCGTAGTTTCGTCATGCAGGGTCCTGACTATGTTGTGAAGGTAACTAACGGATCCCCTAACAAATGTATTCCGAGCATTTGGCTCAAATCAACAGGTTAACAGTGTCATGCAGTACTTTTCAGGCGGGTGCGGATATGTGCGTGCTTGGTTTTGCTGCAGTAGACTTTCCATCCAAATACGGTGTGCTCCTATCTGTTCGTTCATTTGAAATGGTTCATAACTAGGTTTCAGCAATATTTTTTCAGGTTTTTCCTGGATTCTCGGTGACGTTTTCCTTCGCAATTTCTATTCCGTTTTCGACGTCGGAAATAAGCGTGTCGGATTGGCCCCAGCAGTATAGCATTTCTGCACTGGAGTGTTTGGATTATTCGATAAATTCTTTACTTTTTTCATTACCTGCCATTATGAGGAGTTCCATAAGAATGCCTAAGGTGTGTGACTTTAGCGCTACCGTGCAATCTCGGTTTTATTGCGCTAAAAATCGTAGGAGTATCCGGAAGCAGCGTCCCATATGATGAGGAGGGTATTTTCCGAATGCAAACCTTCCTTACAGTTATCATTTACCTCTTTCCTTCACTTCCCAGGATATTCATCGACCCATGTAGGGCATGAAAGACAAATAGAGCAATAGTAGAGCAGCCTTTCAAAGACACAGGTCATGATTGGATTCTAAGCAGTAGTTTGAGGTGGTGGAACTTATGACACGAGTGGTGATACTTTTACGACTTGAAAGTGCGCGACAAGGAGCTGATGCCTTCGCTTGACCGCTGCGACCGCTGCCATTCTTATCAATCGCAGCATACGTGGCGTCTGCGCCCTCTCGCGTACGACGTGCTCTCTCGCGTTTTCCTTTCCTCGCAGCGCTGTGTCTCTCCGTCGTACCACGGTCGACCTCACGAGAAAAATTTCAAAACAAAATAACACACCGACTCCCAACATTTCTCTTCGCACAGATTCTCAACGGCTTGAGATACAATGCGGCTCTGATCGTCGATATTGAGAGAAAGATTCGAAAAATGCAGGGGAAGAGGAACAGAAAGCATTGGGAGATTGTACATAGAATGATGGGTTCACGTGGACGCGCCAAGGGAATGACCATACAATGAAAATATTTTGGGTTCGTTCTCCCAACACCCTCGCAAAGCGCTGTCACGGTGGTCAAATACATCAGTGGCCTAGAACAAGGCAGAATGTGAGAAAGCCAAATCCAAGTTATTCCAGAAAATTTTCGATTTTGCATCTCTTCGTTCCTAAAATATTCCTAGCCCTCTCATCTTATCAGGTTGGAAATTGTTTTCTCCATTATGGCTCATTATGAATCCTTCCGTAACTTTATCGGCAGACATATTATAATATAATAGATTGCTGCAACATTACTGCACCCATGACCATTATTTTGCACGTAACATCATAATCAAATCAATCTAACTTCGTCAGATTTTCTTTGAAAGAGAGCTCACGTTAAGATGAAGGATTCGCAGCCGCAGTCGGGCTACTTTGATATTTTGATCCGTTTTGAGCTACGAATAGTTGCAAAAACCGCAAAAGGCGACAATCAGGCACTGGGGCCATGCAGGGGATGACTGAGATTTTACCCTTCTAGTTCGTCTATATTTTGGTCGCTCGATCGAAGAGCGCTGTAACCGTTGCGGCCACACCTTGACAATATAGCGCGCTAAGTTCACACGGACCATTTATTCAGCGTGTATATCTGCTGTGATTGTTCAGCCCTGATCCAAGGGCTCAACATGCACGGAAAAGAGTCAACCGTGGAGTAGCCAGTTTCAAATTCACGATCCTTCCCCGTCTTTGAACCAAGAACTACTTGATACCCTTCCCACACCACTTCAAACCTCCAAAAGTGAAAGGTTTTGCCTTCGCACCCTCAAATACGACTCCATTTCACTTGGCAGGCCCCTACTCTCCTCCCATCGCAGTTACGACACCATGGTCTCGCAAGGTCAGAGGCGCGGATGTCTCTTCTCGGACAATCCACTAAACACAGAGCAGGGCTTTCCTTCCTCGGAGACTCGGCACCTCAGCCGTTAAGATCTTGAAGAGCTGTCGAATAGCATCTGTGCACCACACAAGGCTCGTTTTCGGTAGGCTTTCCGCAAACCGTTCCTTGATTTAGTCATTTATATATTCTTTCGTGCGTGCAGTTGACGCGCTTGGAAAAAGAACAATAACAGCACTGCGTTCAGTTCTAACTTTCCTCTGTTGATTACGAAGTTGAGTTGAAGAAAGCATTATGTCACTTCGTCAGAGCCTGCAAAAAGTCTAGTGAAATATGACACGTTGTGTTCAATGGCGGGAAGTTAGAACTGCCATGCCGAGATTTATACAAAGCCGTA